CGCGGCGGGGCGCAGGCCGGGAACGGGGTTCTGCCGGGCCGGGGCCCCCGGGAGGGTCCGGCCGCTCCAGCCCGCCGGGCCACAGCCTGCATCCGCCCTCGGAGTTGCGAACCTGCCCCGCACTCTGGCCTCCCCGCTTTCGGGGATGGGAGGTGGGGGTGCGCAGGACAGCCCCCCCGAGACCGGCAGTCTCGGCGGAGCGACTCCCCCGCCCGGTTTTGGCAACCCGAGCCCCTCTCCGGCCGCCAGCCCTTTCCTTCCGCTCGCCGCAGCGACCTGCGGTGACCGCGGCCGCGTCCGGGTCCGTCCCCCGGCGCAGCGCACGGGGCCGACTCAGGCACGTGGCAGCCGCGGCCGGGGCGGCCGCTCTTCCGAAAAGATGAAATCATTGCAGGGCAGCGCACCACGCTCCCGACCCGGGGCTTGAACGCACGCCGCCCCGGAGGCGGTGGCCTTCCCCTCTGCTGCCCCCGAGCGAACTCAGGCAAACCGCCCCTCCCCCTTCCTGCTTCCGCGCTCGGGTGCCGCCGCCGCCACGCTGTGCAGGCGCGCCGCAAGCCCTGACCGAAATTGCTGGGTGACACTTAACTTTCTGAATTCCATGCCGTTGGCTGTGGGTGATATCACCGCCTCGGTGTCGTGTTTCTCCGCCCCTTCTCTTCTAGCGCCCCTCCCCCGACTTTTCTCGCCACTTTGTTTTGCTGAGTTTCTCCACCTCTTTTTTTTGCTAGTTCTAAAAAGCGAGGTGGGGACGTTATACAATCTAGTTGTTTGTATCAGGGGATGTTATGATTTTGTAACAGTGAATACTGGAAAATACTCTTTAGCGTGTTTACTTATTTGATTCCACCTCAGACAGTACGTCGTGATGTTTTGCAATGTTGTGTGGTATTATTCCAGAATATTTTAAACCAAGTGTCCAAGTAAATAATGTTAAGCTTTTGGTTGAAGCTGGTTTCTATCTAATTTGTATAAAGAAGCGGTTATAAAAGGTAAAGCAAAATAAAGTAGCAACACTGAGCAAATGCATAAGGATATATAGAGAAGAAATCAATTTTTATAAAACATAATTAGTGATCTTGAGGTCTTACGGTGAGATTAAGTATAATAATAATTCTGAATTCTCTGGAAGATACCCATCCTGATGTAACTGTTAAAACTTATTTCTCTATCCAGCTTCAAAGAGTGTCAGTGGTGGTGGTTGTTTTAATTTCACAGTGTTGTGAATTCACAGAACTATTTAACTAATAAGCAAATTTGGGGGCTTCTGGGGACCCCAAAGACAGTGATTGAGAGGGTCCATTGGAAGCCTTCGTTTAATTTAAATTATTGACTTGTGCTTTCGTGTTATGAAAAATAAATGAAAAATGTGCTCTTTTCAAATTGTTAGGGCTTGTTCTCATTCTTCAAAGTTTACTTTTATTTGTAAAAATTTATTTGTAAAAATTTAATGCAAACCCTTGATCACAGGCAGTGCTCCTCAGGTTAAAACCACATTCCTTTTTGAAGCTGTTTAGAAACCTAAGGCCCCGTTGTCCGTGATCCCTGGGTTCCTTGCAGAATGTGAACAAGCAGCTTTAGAAATATATCTGTTGTTTTTGAGGTTGTCCACTGGATAGTTCCTTATACAAACAAGGAAGAATCTGATATATAGGGCAAACCATATACATTATTGTCCCAAATCAGAATATGCGTGAGAGTGAGAGGGGTCACTATTAATACTCATGCTGGCACAACTAGTTTAAGCCATCAGTGTCTGGGGGCAATCCAGGACACATGGTCACTCACTTGCACCTGACAGTAAACAAGAGTAGCACAGACTCTTTTACAGTCTTTAAAAGCATCTAAGGCTCGAACTCCCAGTGTCTAGAGCTTGCGTGTGTACACGAAGTGAACTGTACCAGTGGGCTTTTCTCTAGCCATTGTTGGCCTTTTTAGTGCTGTCTGTAACAGTCTTTGCTTATCATCTAACATGTCCTTGGGAGACTGGTAAAAGGCTAGTTTGAATATCTTGGTGTTGAAGTATCACCTACCTCTCTCCATAAACAGAGCCTCTGGTCTCCGCAGTTTAGTTGTCTTCACTATTATGATCACTGCTATAATTGTTTAGTTCTTACTGTGTTCAGGCTCTGGGCTAAATGTCCCACACACACATTATCCACTCAGTCTTATGAGGTGGGCCCTAATATTATCCTGATTTTACAGGGGAGGGAACTGAGGCATGGAAGAGTTAAGAACGAATCCAGGGACACTCAGCGAGGTAGGGGACAGGCTTAGACCTCCAGAACCTCATTCCACCATACCAGACTGTCTCCCTACATTTTTCCTATTTTTTTTTTTAATTTTTAGTGAGTCCGTCAAATATATGAAATACTTGGTAATTGAGTTTGGAAGCAACAGTTAAGTACTGTGTCAGTATCAGTCTTTATTGCTCTAGAGTTTGATTCTGACAGTTCAGTGACTGTCAGAAAAATGTATTTGGGGAAAGAGAATTTAGCTTACAGCCTCTCCAACAGACATCCTTTTTCCTTTTTCTTCCTCCTTAGCAATTTACCCTGGGGAAGAAATTGGTCTTTGCAGGACTAGAGTTGAAATGTTGGTTCTCTGTCAGGGTGGAACCGTAGCCTGGGTGAAGTTCTAGGCTCTGAGTGGATGAATCCCGAGGGGAGGTGGACAGTGGAGGGAGTAACTGTTTCCTCCTGCTGACTGTGCTCCTTCGGGAAGGCAGCAAGCCCTGGGCCTCAGAGGGCCCGAGAAAGCCGCCTGAGATCCTGCTGTGGCTTTTTAAAAACTCTTCCAGGCTCATTGGTTCAGGAGGAAGTGGTGTTTATTACTAGATTTATTGCTGTGTCTACCCATAGATAACAAAAATGAATACAATGGGGTCCCTACTATAATTTTAAATAGGTCTGTCATATCCAAACAGATGAATTATGGTGGTTGAGAGGAAGTAAAAATTACTTCCAGCTTGGGGAGGGAGATGGAGAAAGATTTCCCAGAAGAGGTGGTATGGAGTTGATTCTAGTTGAGATGGGGCCTCAGTGAGTGAATACAGAGGTTGGCACCTTGTCGTTAGGGAGGCACATTCAGAGACTAATCACTTGGCTCTGCCGGAACAGGGGGCCTAGGAGAAAAGTGGAGGGTAAGACAGGGGAAGAGGCCGTGTCACAGGCTGAAAATGTGGATTGTGTATTGAAAGTGATGGGAGGCCACGGGGGCTTTTTAGAGCTGGGAATGACAGGATCAGAGCTCTGTTCTGGGAAGATGAGCCAGCAATGGTGAGCAGGATAAGGGATCACCGAGAAGGTTCTTTGAAATAATTCAGATATGTGGTTAAGCAGGCAAGAAAAAATGGAAAGGCTTGGAAAAATATAGGAGACGCTGAGGAAAGCTACTCAAAAAAAAAAAAAAGGAAGTATCAGAATGTCTGGAAATAAGGAGCCAGAATGAAAACAAACAAATCAGTGTTCCACTACCCCAAGCTCCTCAAAATATTAAAAATATTTTTAAGTCCCCCAAATATCTTATCCTGCCTGTCTCTAACAAGGCTGGCTCATGCTCTGTACTTAGGAAAAATGCATGCTAGGTACACGGGCACCACCCCGTCCCTGTGGGCCACGCACTAAAATTATGACCCTCACAACTAATCATTGAGCTCTCACAAAGAATTACTCTCAAAAATGAAAGTATGTTTTTAACAACCAGTGTAAATGCATCATCGTGAGGGCATGTTTTTTGCACTAGACAGAATCAGTTCGCCTTTTATTAATATTACTTTTTTAAGCAGCTCTATTCCATAAAACCAACAATGCATGTAAGGGTCTCTTGTTCTGAAGGAAACAAACTACACACACAAACACACACACACACACACACAGAGGCCCTACTCTCAGATCTCCTGTGGGTCTCTTTTCTGAGGGAAACACACTACACACACACACACACACACACACACACACACAGAGGCCCTACTCTCAGATCTCCTCTGGGTAAGCCTGAGGCAGTCAGCAGCCGGGTGTCTGACCCAGAGGGAATTTCCTTCGCAGAGATGGACCAGCACTGCGCAGAATACAGGCCTGGCTCTCATCAGGTTAAGAAAAAAAGCTCAGAGGTAACTTGAGGGGGAAATTTTAACTTGCTATCTGTTCAATAGATAATGATCTTTAGAACAAAGTGAAAAAGTAAAGGTATGAGACTGTTATATTTTTTTCCTTCTCTAACCTCTGTAAATATTTAAAATCACGCTGGGGACCGATCTACAACACATGAGCTGGGGCAGCATTATCAACACCGAACAGTCATTCAAGTGAATTTTCCTGTTGTCTGAGTGGTGTTCAACCTCTGTTTAGTGGGAACTGGCCCAGAAGGCTGTTGGCTGACTTGGAGCATTTTACAAATTGACCTCAATCCAAGCAAGGAGGACTAGTGTTTCTCTTGGAGTTAGGTAACACTTGGAAGGGATAGGAATTTGCTGTTGGAGATCCTGGTGGTTTTTTGAGAACTACCTTAACTCCAAAGGCTTCTTCCACTTCTCTTCCTGGGTCCCCAGGATACCTCTCTCTTTAGTGATACCTTCTTCCATCAGCAGCAGGGAAGAAAGGGCATGCTGCTAGTTTGCCCTTATCTGGAGGGAAAAAGATTGAAAGAATTGGGGAAGGGGCTTTCAGTATTCATTAGCACGTTCGGAGTGGCTAATGGGTTTCTTGGGTGCAAGGCGTGGGCTTCCTCAGATGAGGAAATAAGCTTGGAATGTGGGGGCTTGTTGGGAGGTTTACTTGAGAGAACAGGAAAGGATGTTACCCATTGCCAGATGCCTAATAGGTATGCAGACTTTTTTCTTCTCTGTATAGCAGCAGTATTAAGTGACTAATACTGACCAGACAACTACTCCATGGTGCTGTTATCCACGTGGTGTTTGAACAAGAGCTATACCAGAAGATCATCTATAGAAGCACTAATGTTGAAAGGAGGTGTGAGGGCATAACAACCGAATCTCTTCTCTTCCCTCCATTGCTTTCTTTGGAAAGTCTCTTTGTTGTTGTTATTGCTTTGGTTGTTGTAGATACAAGGTTCTACTGCTAGGAAAACCACTCCAGGCTATTAAATATTCAGGGTAGAATTCTCGAATGATCACAACCCTTAATTTCTTGCTCTTTTTAATTGATCCTGTTAATTGATAACATCGTCCTCCTTTTGGAAAGATGAGAGGAAAACAAAACAAACAAGCCAACAAGAGGGGGCCTGCTGTGGACTGATAGAGGGAGAGGGAAACAATGCACATCCGCATCTTTCCAAACACAGTGTCACCCAAGAAATGGCTCGCATTCTCTGTGCCTCTCTCACTAGAGACTAAGTAGGTGATGGGACAACTCTTCACTGGCCTGTTGAAAGACCCATTGACACAAGCATCCTTCATGGAATGGGATTGACGTTTTTGCTTTCATCTCAGTTGGGATCAGTGCTGTCCTTCAAGGGCTTTTAGCATGTTCCATGCTAAGTGTCCACATGACACTTTAAATTTTCTCTAATTTTCCGCTGCTGGGGATGTACCTGCAATGTTTTATTCAGAAATAGGACAGGACTGCTGTGAATGAGGGACGGTGGAATTGAAATTTCTACACTGGATTTTTTCTCCCTTAGTGCTCATGTTTACCATAATAGTTCTCTTGATCTAAAAGTACAATAAGAAATTTCATCAAACTTGAACTTTTTCAAGTCTGAAATATGTGAACTGTTTTCTGTGGGGAAAACACTTTCAACTAATTAGTGAGCACTTCAATATAAGGCTAAAATGATTATTCTGATATTTACACCTAAATTCTAAGTAGAATGCTAAATTCATAGAAATGTTAATCCCAACATTTCATAAAAGCAAGCTTTTAGCTATACACGGGGTGGGTCTTTTTATGAAAAGAAAAAAGGTATATTTCATTTATTTCAATGAGAGAAATGTCACCAGTACCTACTTAGAAAATAATTGTCCAAATGATTTCATATGACTCAAGTATCATTGAATATGCCATGAATAGTTAGTTTTTGAGTTAGAAGAAAGCAATTATGGCCTAGTTGCTTTCTAACCATTAATTTCCTGGTCCTTTGTAGAAAAAAATTTGTGTTAAGAGGAAAGGAGCCATATTGATTGTGATTTAAGTAGTCATGTTTTACTGTAATATTCTAGGTAATTCATTCTATACAGAGTCGGATGTAGCAATAAAATAGTGTATTTGTTCATTGTTATTTTATGTTTATGTAATCAATAACACAAATAAAGAGCTTTTTTGTTCTTCATAATAACACTTAACCTCTCTTCTAAGGGATTTTTTTTTTTTTAATCATGTTAGAAGAAACCGTTTTAGGAGACTAAAGCATTCATTGTGGTGATATGGTTTGTGTTTTCTTTTATGTCTGTGAGCCATCTGGAAGCCTCATTTAAGTGTTTAATGTTCCTGCATTGCACACCGTGTTTAATGCTTTCATACCTTTTACATCCATGACCCAGGTCGTTAACCCAGGAAAAAGCCAAGAGATTAACTACTGCCTTCATTTTCACCCACTTCCATAAAATTAGCTCACCAGAATAATTGGGGAGATACCAATGAGGTGACTTCTGGGTTTTGTGAAATACGTAGATAATAATAAAAACCTAAATATTGACTATAAACATAAATATGGGAATATACCGGTCTGTGACCCAGGAAGAACCAGCAGTTTAAAGATCACAGTCTAATAAGAGCTGCTGATGTTCAAAATCACTGTTGAAATGGCCACGTGGATACTTGCAGCTGCATTAAAGCACAAACCCTCTGAACGTAGTGGTAGAGGGTATATGACAAGGTTATTACTAAACATTCAAGGCTGAAAGACATTGTAAAGGAAAGCAGTAAGTTCAAGGTTAAGCTTAAGTTCAGGCTTAGAAGGACTATGAGTTCATGTGTGAGTACAGTGTGAGGTGTATAAATATTAGGGCAGTTTCAGAGACGTGGCTGTGTCCCTTGTTGTGTGAGCATACAGAGCAAAGGTTTTCAGAAGTCACCCGGCTAGCAGTCCTCCACATCATACTATATAATGATTTATAAAATCATATTGTATACTGAGTTCTACAACTAGATAACTTACTGCAAAGACAAAGTACCTTACAATAGACTATTAAATGGTGCTATCTCAATCACATTTCAATTAAGCAAGAGAGTTGGGGGCATTGATTCCAAATATGAGCAGTGCCATGTAGGGAAGTACTTGGTAAATGGAAACATGCAGATGTTATTATTGGTAATAACTTGTAGTTCCCAGTAAAATGCAAGCTCATTTTTGGTCCCTCGTCTGAAATGTGTTTAAGTCCCTCTACTGTGGCCCCTGTCCGTTCACAAAGTGTGCATAACAGACAAGTTGATACTGCTGATGCAGGCACAGAACGCTTGGCAGGCGCTCTCCCCCGAGAGGGGGCGGAGGGGGGGGCTTTGGCTGCTCAGGGAACTTGCGGGCAGGATCTGAGCACAGACATGTCAGTGGGAACGTGTTGACGATGTTAAGGTTTGCCTTGTGATTCCCTTTCTCCAGGGCACCTGGATGATGATGGATTACCACACGGCTTCTGCACGGTCACTTACTCCTCCACGGACAGATTTGAGGGGAACTTTGTTCACGGAGAAAAGAACGGACGGGGCAAGTTCTTCTTCTTTGATGGCAGGTAGCACTCACCGTTTTGTTTTTTGTTTTGTCTTGTCGGGGGGTGGGTACCAAATTACTTCACTTGAAGGAATGATACAAATGAAAGAATTCAAGTGGATGTTTTGGTCCCACTTATAGAAAAGGCAAAAGTCACCCCAACATGTATACACTGCTCTGGGGACCAAGGGAGTCACTCAGGCTGCTCTGGGGAGCCAGCCTGCGGCTTAGGTCCGTCATCACTGCCTCCTAGGCTGTGCTTACCACAGCTCTCCTGTCATGCCCGAGTCAGGGAGCTCCCATTATGCACACGACAGTTACGGGGCTCACCCAGTTCTTTGATGGATTTCACCTGCTTGTCCCCGTGTCCTCAGTCTCCTTGAAGTCACACAAACGGGGGTTGTTTTTGTCAGGGGCCAGTTTGGGCAGCTCAGATTGTGACTGATTCTCACTGCTTTTCAAGGATAACACCCAGTCACTCCAGTACACGCAGCCCTCTCTCTCCCAGTTGTCACGGTCTGGCTCCTCCATACCCTGAAGGATAGTGCGGCCACCTTGTGGGTTCTGCAGCTTCATTTTCTCAGCATTTTCCCCGTCCTCACGAGACAGGTCAAGAAAATATTTAGCAAGGCTCTCCCAAGCTGCCTCAGCACGGTTCAAGCAGGGAGGCCCGGGACAGGTGAACGTAGGAGGGGTTCAGCTCCAGATTCACGGTGCGTGGCAGGCTTACTCTTTGGGATGACTGTCACTCTGTGTGGTACCTTCTTGCTGATATCACAACTCGTACTGTCGACGTTCTACCTCTAGCTAAAATATGTTCCCCAGCAGGGTTCTTGTTACTTTGCTTTCACCTCCCGTCTGAGAATGCCATGAGGCAGAAGCTCCTTACCCTCTTGAAATAGGCGGGAATGACCCTCTTGAAATAGGCGGGAATGACCCTCTTGAAATAGGCGGAGAAATGATTTTCTCTTTCAGGAAAAGATGGCATTGTATAGGTGCAGCTTTCCAACCGCGACTTTTAAACCATGTCGGTTTCAGAAACAGAGAACGACCGGGTGAATTTCTCAAGCATTTGGAGGAATTCAGAGGCATGGGGAGGCCGGCTCTCTTTCTGCCCACTTGACTGGGGAATAGGGAACTGGACTTAGCTAAAGCAGGTTATAGGATTCTGTAGGGTAGAGCACTGCTTCTAAGCTCTGGACATGGGTAATAAGCCGAAGCTTCCTAAGCCACGGAATTCCTCTGGGAAAGGGAAATGTCTAAGCTGACAGTTCAAGGGTGACAGAGGGACTGGCTTGTGACCCAGAAGGTCTTTTCTATGGAGGGAGTGGGTTGTTTTTAAAGTTTTTCACAGTTCTTCAGGCCCTCCATTATCTGATACAAGGAGAAGTGAGGAAAGTAATAAAAACCCATCATAGGGCGCCTGGGTGGCTCAGTTGGTTGAGCGACTGCCTTCGGCTCAGGTCATGATCCTGGAGTCCCGGGATCGAGTCCCGCATCGGGCTCCCTGCTCGGC